TATACAAGCATACATATATACATTCATACATATACACACACACACACGTACAGTCATACTTCATAACTCCCAAAAGCTAAGAAAACTATGTGTAATATTGTTAAATTGTTGCAGGGTTTTAAGAGCTTCCTTTTATGACTCTGAACTTCCAATATATACAGTAAGATCACTTATGTAAGAAAATAAGCAAAAATATGTAGGAAAAAAGCTAAGTCATCTGACTGTTCATCAAAAGCTGAAGATAGGGGCCCCTGGATGGCTCAGTTGGTTAAGCATCCGACTCTTGGTTTCCACTCAGGTCATGATCTCAGGGTCGTGGGATCGAGCCCCATGTTGGGCTCTGTGCTCAGCACGGAGTCTGCATGTCCCTCTCCCTCTGCTCCTCCTCCCTTCCCCTTGCTTGTGCTCGTTCTCTCTCTCAAGTAAATAAATAAATAAAATCTCTAAAAAAAAACGCTGAAGATATATTCTTGAGGCAAAGAATGAGCCAACTCGGAAAACCCACAGATGGAAGGAATTCTTTTTTTTTTTTTTTAGATTTTTTATTTATTTATTTGACACAGAGAGAGACAGAGAGAGAGAGCATAAGCAGGTGGAGCGGCAGGCAGAGGGAGAGGGAGAAGCAAGCTCCAGGAGAAGCAGGCTCCCTGAGAAACAGGGAGCCTGATGCGGGGCTTGATCCCAGGACCCCGGGATCATGACCTGAGCCGAAGGCAGTCGCTTAACCAACTGAGCCACCCAGGCACCCCAGGAATTCTCGGACAGTAGGGGATTTGGTTTTTTTTTAGTGAGTAGATAACAAATATATCCTAGAAGATTGACAACAAATTCCTCACAGAAAAAGAATCAGCTTTTAGGAATAGTGGGAAGCTTGGTGGGAAGGGTCCAAATTTCAGAACCAAGCGTAGGAGTCAATGTCTGGTTCTCTAACTAGCTCTGCAGGCTTGGACAAATTCTCTGAGCCTTACTCTCCTCATCTATAAAATGAACATATAAATGCCAGGAGTCTGGTGAGGTTCTGTTAATGGAGCCCTGACTTCCACCCCCTCCCCCCATTTTCTGTCACCTAAACTCCTTTACTTCAGGTTTAAGAACCAGAAACGCTGAGGGAAGCAGTAAAAGGGCAACCCTCCTTCCTGGAGCTTTCAGGCTTACATGGCGTCAGCATTCAGGCTCTGCTATACCCCGCAAAGAGAAAAAAATTACTGGCCACCTTTATCATCAGCCTTGTCAAAAAAGAACTGTGGCAAGTAGGCAGTGCCTTCAGTTCAAAAGACATTCCCAGAGCACCCTGTCATTAGGGGACAGAAGCAGCCCATTTAAATCCCTGAATCTTTTCAACAAACTGAAATCCCCTCAATGTCCGAGAGCAGCAGATGAGTTGAAGAGTGAGACATAATACTTGAAGGCAGGTGTGCATGATGGAATTACATCTTGAAAAAGAGTATTAAATGACAGGGGGACATGTTCATGATAAATGAAGTAAATGTTGCTGTAAAATAGTATATACATTTTAGATTCCTGTTTTTTTTTTTAAATAATTGATTTATAGGGAAAAACAGAAGGAAATAAAAATTGTCAATGATAAATTCTGAGTGGTAAGGTTATGGGGGCTTTAAATTTTTTTTCTAAGCCTTATACAATAAATGTAATATTTTTTTAATATAGAGTTATAATATGTAAATATGATACAGCTTTTAAACAACTCCACCAGGCAGAAATTGTGACTTTTTGTTCATCACCACAGAAAAACAAGCATTTTAAAGAAATGTGGCCTTTTTCTCAGCAGTGAGGTAAAGAATTTGTATAGGGGCAAAGTGCCTCTTGATTTTCTATAAGTTTCCTCCCTTTCTCCCTTGTCCCACCTTTCGGAGTTTTGGGTCCCCACCCACCCTGAATTGAGTGTGGAAAAAAAGAAAAAAATCTTTTCCTGCCTGAAGATGCTCAATGTTGAGACTTAGAATAGGGAAATTGCACATTGTTCAGATTTCCCAGTACTGGTGGCTCCTGGCCGAGCTGGTGGATCTGTACCTTCTCCACCTTTGGCTCCTGACGGTCGACTCCTATATCCTCTGCAGGAGTTCACGTCTCTGCTTGAGAGCAGGAAAGGAGGGGAAAGCACAAGGCCCAAACTTTCTTGAGTTCTTAAAGTAAGAGTACTTCTAAGTAGCTAGGACACTTTACATTTATCATTACTGTGATTGTTAAGAGTAACTACCATTTATTGAACCCTTTTCATAGACACTGTATTATTGTATTGAATTTTCACTTTAGTCACTTAGGGCTTCTCCCCATTTCATGGATAAAGACGTAGGCTGTGGTCAAGTGGCATGCCTAAGTTCCCAGTGCTAGAAAATGGCGGACGTCAGGCGCTTCACAGATTGCAAAATTATTTATTGCCTGTTATTCTTCACACTACTCTGTGAGATAAAGATTCTACGTTTTCACTTGTGAAATGAAGGGACGGATGCCTTTAAAGTCCGTTCTGTGGGTCTACATGACTGATCCCTGAGAACATTTCCAACTTTTGGTTTCACTGGAGGAGACCTGTACTTAATAGGGCAATGGTGGGAGCCAAACATAAGCCTACTATCCTATTCAAATTTTAATCTGAATCTGAAGAAGGTAGGGTGGGGTGGGACACTAGATACTAGCAGTGAACAACCAGATTATGATGTGACCTCATACCGTGAAGACAAGGAGACAGTTGTACATTGGCTATAGGGCCACAGAATTCTGGAATTTGCTGGTGGGAGGGTGTGGGGCAGGAAACCAATAGCTCTACCAGGGTAGAAAAAGGCAGAATAGCCTAGGTCGGTGGATGCTTTGATGCTTGGTGGAGGGGCTCAACCCTACCTCAAAGGTAGGGGCTCTGTACAAATAGCTGTGAAGTTATTTGGGCCAAGTATGTATGCGATTATAAAAGTATTTTATTCAGGTCCTGAATAAGACAATCTGCTACCAATCTTTAAAGTATCACATGTGTTAACATTGACTTTTCAATACACGTAACAGAAAAACAAAGAGACAACACAGCTATAATAATTTATGCATTTTCATTTCTTGCTTGGATGAAAGTGGGACTACACCAAAAGTTGCTGGAAGTAAAGTAGTGAACTGAGACACTGAGTTATTTTCGTATCTATACTGCTTGCTGTATCAGAATTAAATTTCTCCTAATTGGCCTTAATGGAAGCTAATTTTAACATCAGTAATCTTGATTTAAAAAAAAAAACTATTGTTTTTTTGGAAGGTGGGACGAGGCAGCGAAAGAGGAAACATTTTCTCAGAATTGTGAATTGGCAACCTTGGATCCTCACAGCTCTGCCCTCAACGAGCTATGTAACTGTGAATAAATCTCTTAAACTTCAAATTGCTCACCTGTACAATGAGATTCTAAAAGGCAGGTGATGTTTGATATTGTTAATGTTCTATGTGACAAGCTAGCATTCCATGGGTATCCACAACAGTAAAACCAAATCCAATGAGCAGGTGCCCTTAAGTCCTACGTAAGTATCCCTAAATGTCAAGTGCTCTAAGACTGACACATGTAAATGGTTGTCTTTATCCTCCAGAGTAGGGATGGTGGGCACTGAGTAGGGACCTTTGATGTTACACTACAGTAGGAAAGTTTTTCCCCTCACTTTGTCCCCATGTGATATGGAGAAGAGGAAAAACAAGTGAGTAAGAGTACAGGATTTGGAAGCTGCATTCCTGGGAGTCGAGACTTGAAGCTGCTTCCTCCAGTTGCTCTGACCTGACTCTAGTCGATCTTGTGCAAGTTAAAAATTCCAAGTATCACAAGGTGGGACCGGTCACCTGCTGGGACCTGTCAAGCCTTGGATCTGTGTTCTTCCAGAAGTGAAGGTATGTTCTTTGAGATCCCAGGAGGAACTGTTACACTCTAAGACAGATAAATAGGATGTAGAACTAACTACAAACACTTAAGCATTAATGAAGTCAATACATAGTATGTCACAGAGTTTAAAACGTGGAAAGATTATCTTTTCAAAATTATAATTTATGTTTATCCTTGGCGGTCACAAACCTACTGAACTTGTTATGGGGATGAAATAGGAAAAACTCAAAAGAAGACACTAAACACTAGGTAGGACGGCTTCTAGAAATCAAGAAGGGCGATTTCCCATGTGGTCAGACAAACATATCATTCCTTATCTTTCTCACCCACCCAAGAGTTCTGACACTTGGCGTCAAAGTTTTGTGGAGTAGTTCAAGCCTACTTAGATGCTTAAAGGACCTCGTCCCAGGTTTGGGTATTTTCATGGATTTCTTTTGTTCAGTAATTGTGGCCTCCAAGTTTTTATAATTCTCCTCCTCATTCCATTCCATCCTCCTTTCAAACTGTTTGAGAGCTTTTAGTGCAATCCGCTTATCACTTTTCTTCCCCAACCAAAATAGTGTCAGGGAATTGCCTAAGGGGAGTCCCTATAGAAGTACTAAGAGAAAGGGGGGGGATAAGTTACTGCCTATAAAACTGGCACTTTAAAAAGCTTTCGCTTTAATGACGATTTAAGACTGACACCATAAGGAAAGCAGGAGCTTTCATCCGCGCGAACTCCCACCTTCATCCCCAGGTTGAACTTTCCCATGAGTAAAAGAAGGTATCACCTCATCACTTCCTGGATTCCGCGGACACTTCTCTATACTGACGGGTACTTCCTTTGCGACCCGAAACGCTTTCTAGCACTTCAACGACTTAAACTCTCCCCACGCCTGAGGTTCCTCTATCACCTGGGCGACGCTCCCGGCTTTGTTTTTTTTTCTACTTCCCAAGCCCAAGCCCGCCCACCAGCGTCGACGTCAGCTCTTTACTGGTCCTAGAGTGTGTTCGTCTCCTCAGAGAGCCAATCAGAGCCTCGCCGTCCACCCCAGGGATTTGGGAAACGGAAAAGACCCCGACCTGTTCCCGGGAGTGGGGCGGGGCCTTACGTGAGTGACAGATCGGTCCTCCAATACGCAGAGCGCTAGGACCTCCCCCTTCGGGCTCCAGAGCTAGAAAAGAGCGTCGATGCCGGCGGCAGCGATGAGTTGTAGGAGGAGCTGGGTGCTTGGCGTTGCTGAGGAGCGGCTGCTGCTACTGCTGCTGCTGGTGGCCTCTTTACAGGTGAGTGGTTTTGTTTTAGAATTTTGCTCTTCCGAACCTTTCTGTTTTTAAGTGATGTTGTGTTTTAATTTGGAGTGCAGGAAGGCCAGTTCTTGACTCCCCCGATTCCGTCTTTGGAGGGAATCTGGTGCTCGCTCGTCTGCCCCTCGAGCTCCCACCCTCACTTACTCCCCAGGTCCCTCTCAGGTCCCTTTCTCAGAATAAGCCTTCCTGGGACGCACGGATCTGTCAGCTGAAAGGAGGACTCCGCCTTGGTCGTGGTGCCTTGACGGCAAGAGTAAACAGGAGTTGGAGGGAGTGATGAACTCAACTCTCCTGGACGTATGAGGCGCAGTGTGGCAGAGGAGGGGTCCTGGAAGCAAGCTAGGGGTGTTTTCAGGGCCACGCCACTCTATTTAGGGCGATGGCAGACCTGGCCCTAAACGTCTAAGTAGATAGAAAAAAACCTGCATGCCAGGGAAGGAGAAAGAGGTGAATATCTGCAATGGTTTCACGTAGCTCTCACATCGAGCTAAATCACAGGTTCTTAGAACCACTAAAAATTAAAAAAAATAATAGTAAGTGTATTTCTCCTCTGTTCAAAGGGATGGGGGCTGCATTACTAGAGAAGGACAGGAGAAATGCATAATGGAAGTAAAGTTCACAGTTTCTTTGAAAAAGTAAAGTTAAAGGATAATTAGTTGTTTGCTAACTTATTATACTCCTCTTCCCCTACCACCTCCCTTCCAAATTATGGAGGCTTTACAGCTTGTGAGTGGTACCAGAATGCGAACCGACTGAATGCAGACTTTTGGGGAAAAAAAATCAAATAGCATCTTTCACCAGGAGGTACTACAGTTTTCTGTGATGAAAGCAGAACACATGTCAGCTTGTACTTTGCTTTAAAACTCTCTCCCCTGAGGCCAGGGACTGGGTTTTATCCATCTTTGTTTTCCTGGAGCACCTCACACACCATAGATGCCCCTCATATGGTAGTGGGCCTTCTTTTATTTTAAGTTTTTATTTTTAATTCTAGTTAGTTAACATGCAGTGTTATGTTCGTTTCAGGGGTACGATGTAGTGATTCAACACTTGCATGCATCACCCGGTGCTCATCACAAGTGCACTCCTTAATCCCCAGGTGGTGGACTTTAGAGAAGTGTAATTCAAGCAAATGGTGTAGTGGAAGGAGCTCTGAGTTGGAAGTCAGAACTCCTAGGTTTTAGTGTTGAAGCTGATGCTATTTGTGTAATCTTAAAACAAATCATTTCAACCCTCTGGCTTAATTTTTGCATCTTTAAAAAAGCGGATGTTGTCGCAGATTATTTCGGAGGGTCATGCCTGTGTTAAAAGTCTGTTTTATTTTTTTTTTTTAAGATTTTATTTGTTTATTTGACAGAGATAGCAAGAGAGCACAAGCTGGGGGAACAGTAGAGGGTGAGGGAGAAGCAGGCTCCCCGCCAAGCAGGGAGCCCAATGCGGGGCTCCATCCCAGGACCCTGGGATCATGACCTGAGCCGAAGGCAGACGCTTAACCATCTGAGCCACCCAGGCACCCCTAAAAGTCTGTTTTAAAATAAAGATGATTAGGCATTTTCCACCACAAGTACATAAGCAAAAATGTCATAGTGGTAAATTCTGGGCCAATCTGTTAGCAAATAAAAGTTCCCATCAACAAAGGATAGTACTTGTTCTTTTGTGCCCCTCTTTAAACCAAACCCAATGGATCATTGTAGAAAATTTGGTCATTGTACAGAATAACCATTGTACAGAGTATAATGTGGCAAAAAATGTCATCCTTTATTCCATCACTCAGAGGTAACCACTGTTAGTGTTTGGGCAGATCTTCCAGTCTCTCTTCCTCTTTTGCCTTCTACGGTTGGTTGAGATTAAGTGGCATATTTCATTTTAATAATGACTGGTACATCTAAATTCAGCTGTGCCTTCATTTTTGTGGGTCTGGTGCTCAGAGGACACAAGTATTTGAACCAACAGGTCTCTTGAACATCCTTGGAATGAAATCTGGTGTGAGAGAATGTTTACATGGAGAAATAAGACCGAAAGTATTACTCTTTCATGGAAATTTGGCCACAAAAACTGAAAAATGTACTTTATAAAATGTAGAGAAAATGTTAGCCACTTGATTAAAGCATTTGGATTGTAGAATACTGCTTAATATTTGGTATGCTTTTAGAGCTTTGTCTTACCATCAACTCCCCACACCCCCAACACACACAACATTCGACTGCATTTCTCCTTCCACTACCTAATTTAACCTTTTCTCTTCATCCCCATCCTCATTTTACTTTGTACCCAGCTTTTACTTCCGCACATACCTCAGCAAGGTAGGATCACTTTCAGGGGCCTGAGGTCTGGGCGAGTCTTCATTAGTCTGATCCGTTCAACCCAGAACACCTCTCACTCTTTGGCAGAGTGCTTCACCATAATCTCATTTAGTCTCCCTAATAGCCCCTTGAGAACAGCAATTATCCCTGTCTTTATGGATAAGGAACCTGAGGTCCAGAAAGTTTGAATCACTCGGTCCAAATCACACCATCAGTAAGTAGCAGAGCTGGGACTAATGTCGGGATTTCTTGACTCCAAACTTCTGGGATTTGGTGGCAATAGTTTGTGTTGACAAAAGCTATTATCCTGGGGGAATAAGTAACCAAAGTTAGGAAGGAGGTGTCAGGAGTGGGTGTTGCGCTCATCAGTGATGCTGCACAGGCTGGAACAAGCAACATGCCCCGGGCAAACACTCATCTCATGACCCAGGTAGATCTCTTCCCTGTGAATAGGGGTCTACCTGCTATGGTTTGCTACCTGTGTAACAAGTGATCAGTAGAGGCTGCTGGTAGCGGTAAAGTTGGAGAATGACCGGGGTTACAGTGCCTGGAAAACACCAGGAAGTGATAGCATTGGCTCCTGGTAAAGAGGTGCTCTTAGGGCGCAAGTGAAAAAGTTACCATAAAGCTTTAGGAAGTAATAGATGGTGGAACACAAGGTACTTTTAGGTACGGTCATGTTTGAACTTTTAATATCAAGCTTGATTTTGAGGAAAGCATATTTTGTTAAGATTCTAAGGAACTGTGCTCTGGATTTCATTTCCCTTAAGAACTGTTCCTTTTTTAATTTATCCGAAACATGATTAACCTCTCTTTTTTTCTATCCTTGAATATGCCAGCCTATCTTTTACAGAATTAGATTCCTCTAGAGGTAGATTAAGAGTTGTTCAAAGCCATGCAATGGGGATTTGGACTAGGGAAAACATCCGAGTGGTGAAGGGTAGCATTTGACTATCTAATATTTAAGGGGAAGCTTTTGATCACAGCAACTCTGGCTCTGTATCTCTTATTTTATGTTACTTCAACACTATATCATTGATCACACTTCTTACTCAGTTTTTAGAAGCAGAAAACTAAGTTTTTATTTTTAGACTGGCCTTTATCCTATAATTTTCCTCACCCGTTCATGAGTTGTTATACTAGAGCGTTAGATATTACATTTCAGACACCCGAGGAAGGGAAGCAGCAATGTCTCAGGAGCATTAGTTTGGAAGATAGGACGAGCCTCAGTTATGGTGGGGGGCGGGGAAGGTATGTGAAAGTATATGGTTTAATGAGGGGCAGGAGTGGGAGGCAGCAGCAAGATCGTCTAGTGCTACATTTGTTGAAACTACCTAGAGGTCCTGGAAATATTGTAGAAGTAACCTCAGTAAATGCAATGCTGTGTATTTGCACCAGTCCCCTACCTACCTACTGCCTCCAGCCCTGCCTTGCCAAAAGGATGTGCTAATTCTAAAAAAAACATAACTTCAGTTTTATGGTGGCATTTATGGAAAGAATAACTTTTGCTCTGTAGGCAATTGAGATGGAATTTCTATACATAGACATAGCGAGAAGTCTTTGAAAATATGTCACCTGCATAGTGTGTTTCCTTTGAATCACTTGTCTCTTTACTGCTAAGCCAGTTGTTCAACTTGTATGCCTGAGCAAGTCTACATTCTCCTGAAGTGTGAGGCACGGTGACAATTTATGAAGATGGTGTCTGAGAGAAGTAAAGCATGTCAGAATGACATATTTTTGAAGTTGGTTAACAGCATGAATACTTTTTCTCTATAATTTTACCTTGAACCCATTATTAAATCAATTAAGCAGAAGTAAACAGACTGATTTGAATACGTTCAGTATTGTCTTCTGCGAGGAAGAAAAACAATTATGAATGGGATTCCATTACTCAAGGTACTTGCTGTTCTGGCCAAGAATAAAATCAGGTGATTTAATAATTCTGAGATTATCCCACGACAGGATGCTTAAAGGTTCAAAATGCTGATGTGATTAGTAGATCTGAGTATGGTATCCAGCTAGGCCATGGTTTGGCAAAATAAGGCCTGCTGGTCTACTACCTCTTTTTGTACAGCCTACAAGCTATGATTGGTTTTTATGTTTTGTTTTTTTGTTTTTACTGGTTGAAATACATCAAAGAATGACAGTACTTCATGGGCATGAAAATTATATGAAATTCTAATTTCAATGTCCATACATAAAGTTTTGTTGAAATAAAGCTTCATTTATTCATTTATGTACTGTCTGTGGCTGCTTTCAGCTGCAATGGTAGAACTGAGCAACTGTAACAGAGACCATAGAGCCTAAAAAATTTACTGTTTGGCCAACACCAAATACAGAAAAAATTGCCAACATCTCAGCTAAGCTGTAGTGTCTTTCATATCCATCTCCTGCATCCCATCTCAGTAGCCATTATCCTGATCCAGTCCAGGTCCATTGCAAAAGCCTCTCACGTATTCCTATCAGTAGTTTTCCCCATCTCATTCTGTGTTTGTAAGTGTTGCCTGATCCTCCTAAAATACACATTATTAAATCTTCAGTGATGTCCCAATACTTATAGAAGAATCTATCTTCTTTGGCACAAGGCCTTTCTGGGGCCACTATTCAATCTTATCTTTCTAGGCTTGTCTCCTCCCACTTCCTTGATATACTCTCTACTTAGGATAGGGATCATAT